GTCACGAGTAATTCATCAAACGTCAGAGTTTGTTGAGTTTAAAAGAAAGTATTTTGCTCAAAGCCAACACACTATCCACAACTTGTTGATTCATGGGAAGTTTTGCTGGGATTACTGACCAAATCCGATGATAGCGTACCTTCACAAATGCAGCATTCAACCAATTTTTTTCCGCATCTGCCAGACTTAAGGCATAAAAGTGTAACTGTGGGTGGCGCCCATTAAATCACCGCTTCTATATATCAAGAGACGACAAATTAAATTATACAACCAAATTTTCAGTATCGTGCAGGTTTTCTGGTAGTCAACATCGATTCCTTTAACGGTTTTCCTGCTGAACATGATATGTACTGACTCCAGACTGCTAAGCTTTGATGGGTAAAATAGGGCTGCTTCTATACCGAGGAGTAGGATTTACTTAACGAAGCTAAATGTAAGTTGTAGTCTCTTGCTTAAAAATCTGAGTATATAGTCGTGAAAAGTACTATACAATTAGAAGCACACAATGTTCTCGTCAGAAACATATCTGTATTTGGGTACAGCTGGATGTCAGAATCGATTTTCACGGAAATACGTACAGCAATAGGTCATTTGCCTGGAAACAGTAAGACGTGGGACTATGTAATTTTTCGTATTGCAGGTGCCCTCTGTTACGAATTTGGCGTTAAATATAAATCTACTCTTTCACAACTAAACGCCACTTGTAACTTCTCTATAATCATTCCACAACCGTCCTCATCACTTGCCTCCAAATAAGCTTTTATTTAGAATAATGTTTTAATCAGGAGTAGTTCCTCATATATACTCGCGCCATTCAAAGCTAAATAATGTTGTCACTTTTGGGAAGAAGAAGACTCGATCGCTGGGACAATACGTTTATTCGCCTGACGTTTCACCTTTTCCCCAAAATATGCAAAGCCATAATTTCAAGGAAAGGGGTCCTTTGGGAAAATGAGGAAACTTATTAACTAAACTGTTCTTTGCACATTTTTCTCAAGTCTGACAACGACCTGGGGATCCAGTGTCGAAAGTTTACTGAACACATTCATCTTCCCAAAAAACGCCTTTCCTTAAAATTACATTTCTTTGGATGCCTGCCTTCCAGTTTATACGGCAGCCATAATTATCCGTTTTTTACTCAACACTCAAAGTTTTTACCAAGTCACCTCCAAGAATTTTGCACAGTTCCCCTTCATAAAGATCTCCGGAGACTTTCTTTGCAGTCATTTTCGTCCACTTGTAAGTTCGAACATCACTGCGAAAGTTTGATGACTCCAATGACTTTCTCAGTTGCAGAACCCTAACCATGGTTTTTTTCGATCTTAAACGATTTCTTTCAAGTTCAGGGGTGGCCTTCTCAGTCTCTTCCCCTAGAACTTATGCCACTCTGTCAGTCACCGCATCCACCATGCCTTCGGGTCATGGTCTTCGTGGAATTTAATGTTTTGCCTTGTGCCGACACCAAAAGGACTGTTGAAAGTCGGAACGCGTTTATCTGTATTCGCTAACTTGGCGGTGATCTGGGCAATCAGCAGGGAAGTGTTGTGGTCACATTTCCTAGGTTTTAGCGATGCGTACTTCTGATGCCCAGGATTGATTTCTCTCTATCTCTCTCTCGCCTCCCTGACGGTTTCTCCTATAGCTAGTCAAGAAGTTCTATAATAGCAACTGCAGTACAACCGTGGTGAAATGTAGCCATGAGCTTATATGAGTTGTCTCGCGTTGGGAATGTTTCGAATGCTGCCTGCCTCACGAGTATATTTTAACGCATTAGTCATAGTTTGTTTTTCCTTAAAAGCCCCCAATTCCTTTTCAATCTATACCTCTTCTATGAACATTACCAACTATGTGTTATCCCACGTTTTATTTTTCATCTCATTGCTTCATATTATTCGTCTTTGCCAATAATCTGAGGTAATTTTTATAAATTAATAACTAAAAAAGTAGTTTCTGACATTCTGACATTTTTTCAAATGAATTTTACGAATTCATTCCTCCGGATAAACTTGGAATTCCGCATGTCTGATTGCTGAAAAAGTGTCACATCTCCTCTACTGTAACTAGGGTTGGACAAAAAACTGATTATTAAACCCGCATTAACTAGATTAGAGTTGGGATATTTCTGCTCAAAGACGGCTTTTTGAGCATTAGGCCACGCAGTAAACTCAGAAGCATGACACAGCCGAACTACTACTCCTTTTGGGGTACAGAAAACTATGCCTTACTTTATCAGAGGCTGTGCCTCGGTCTACTAATACTACTACTGTGTCGTTAAACTACGAGAACCGCTGCTCTGTTACTAACGGACATGTAGGGTGCTTTTGAGGACCTGTCAAATGAAAGTTTACATCCAATAAGGCCATGTGGCACGTAAACTCAACGAAAAACCCACTTTTACGCACATCCCACCGGTAACTGCAGTGTCATAGAGGGCAAAATACGGGCGGCAAAACACATCAATAGTCCGCTTGCAACTTCAGCAATACGGCTATCTTGAAAGGTTTATGTAGGCAAACATATGCCTTCAGAAATTCGTCTTCTGGTCAGTATAGTTACAGGGGATAAAGAAAATCGTACAGTTGGACAGGGTTAACAAGTGCCTGCTGGACGCCAGTCAACCTCTGCAAAGACGTACGCCAATTGGTGCTAGGAACAGTCGAGGGGCTGGCTATTCGAATAGCAAATCCAGTGATGTGTTGTCATAGGTGGCTAACACAAGCACTTTCATGTCCGTGGCCGACGCCGACGCCAAGTGGCGATCACATAACTTTCCCATGCCTTGGTGAGAGTCGTTCACTCCGTGCAACTAACAGTAATTATCACTACAAGTACTTGAACAATAACCAATACTCACAGCCTATCCTTATCTTCGCCGCTCCCCACCACCTCCCACAGCAAGGACCACTAGACACCGATCTCGCCATGGGGGCTGTGGGAAAACAACGAGCTGTAGTACTCTGCCTATTTATCTGAGTTGTTTGTCTGAAGTTTAGTAATTACGTAATCTGTACAGTATGCGAGCATCTTTTTGATTTAACTTGAATTGTAATTTTTACCAACGACAATCCATGACAGTAGCTGGTTCACCTTCCATCTCATATGTTGCATATTTGGTTAGTCCAAGTAAGAGTAACTACGCTCTTTCAACAAGGGTCGACGTATCGGAAAAATCGCTGCGATGGACAGAACGCCCCCAAACGACGAGCAAAGAACAGATTGTCAATTCCAAGCTTTCTGAAAAGTTTATTCGGCAAACATATGTTTTCAGAAATTCATCATTAGGCCAGTACAATTGCAGGGATGATGAAAATCGCACACTTAGACAGGGTCAGAAGACGCTAACTCAAGCACTTTCACTTCCATGCTGGACGCCAGTCGGTGATGACATATCGCCTCCAACCCCTCGTGGCAATCGTTCACTCCGTGCAAATGACTGTAATTACCACTCCACGTACCTGACCCGTGACCAATGCTCAAAACCTGTCCTAATTTCCTCCCCTCCCCCTATCCCCAGCGCAGGGACAACTACACGCCATGCGGGCGAAGTTCAAAAGATGAGTTGTCATCAAACCACCCTTAGTAAACCTGTCAAACTGTACGGTTTCCACTATCCCTGCAACTTCACTGTCCTGATTATGAATTTTTGAAAACATGTTTGCTGAATAAACTTTTGAAGTATAATACGGCAAGCGTTTCAACTGCGTCTTTCGACAATCAGATACAAAATTTGAAGTAATTGTAGAAGTCAACTACACCGTCTGATTCATATAGCTTGGATTTTCTTATCAGAAACACATTTGTGTTTCATATTACCAAACACGCTTGCATTTGAGCAGTGAATGAACAATACCCTCTTGCAAATAACGCATCCGTATTGTCCACAGCAAAGCTCACGAACATTTGTCTATCTGCAAGGCTATACGTGTGATTAATTAGTCACAACATAGCCATTTGACGTTTGCGACTTGGTAGCTGCAAAACAATCTTCCACTGCACCTGAAGCTATAACACAGTTTTATATAAAGTCATTTATTTGTTTATTAAAAGGTGCTAAAGGTACTTCAGGTCAACAGGAGAACAATAAGCAAAATTAACTGCGAATGCTTGCAGCTCCAGCAATGGCATACAGCGTTTTCACTGAGCCCTTTGACGACCAAGTCCAAGCTTTTAGTTCATTGCCAAAATCGGGAGAATTTTTTGGTGCAGTTAGAATCTCCACCGTGTTTCGTGGTTCCTTATAATGACTTAAAAATGCAGAAAAAAGTGAATAATGATTGATAACAAAAACAACAAACAATACGCTAAACCAGTAGACTAGCCAAGCTTTACAGAAAATCGAGTAATTGCGACCCGAGCATAATTTCCCATACAACTTCAAGTACCGCGACAGAGTATTTGCAGCTGGAACCAAATGCAGATATTTCGATCGAAATGCAATACAACAATATAGTTTAATGTTTGCTGAGCCAGACCAAAGGGGTATGTATTACCGAGAACATGTAGCGCGTCCGCAGTGGTGAGAATGGAGGGAGACTCGCAAGATTGTTTCATCCTAGAGAGTTCTGTCCATTGGTCAAGCGGACAAATTTCATCAGGAGGTGAAAACATTTCTACAACATTAAGAGGCTCTTGGCCGTCCCAGCCGCCAGCGGCAATGATTCTGCTCCAAAAGTGAGCCGCTGCCAGGTATTCTCGCGCATGTCTCATTTGTGCAGCTGGTAGCCAAAATTGCCTGGTTCTGACTGAGGTCGCGCTCTCTTGCCAGTCGGATCCTAGCTGACAGAACTCCACGGGTGCCAGGTAGGAGCGTCCATCATAGCCCCCAAAAACGAAAATCTGATTGTCACCGGCTATCGTCGCTGCAGCTGGACCGTTCCTTTTCTCTCGCAGATTGGGCAATTTATGCCATCTGTCAGGTATGTGTGAGGAAGATGAAATGCAAGACAGTCAGTAGAACAGGGGCCTTTACCGAGAATTACGTAACTGCGCCACCAGTGTTCTTACCTGTCTTGACTGACCTCATACAACTCGCAGGAAGTAATGCGTGACCAGTCATTGCCTTGCTCAAAGGATCCGCCAAATATGCCGACCAGTGATTTCTCTGCGCCCACCCTGTCTACAGAGCCAACCCTCACAATTGCGGCTGCGTGATCTTGGCGCCCAACGGCCAGGGGCGCCCTTTGATACCAGCGCCGTTCTTTCACCATGAACTCATCAACACGCGTCGAGCCAGTCTGCTGCGAAGGCTGCCCTCCAATGACGAAAATGCTCTCTTCCATGGCGGCATGAGCGAAAAATAAAAATAAGGGTGAGGTGCTGGAAAGGGGATTTAAAAGGCCATATGCCATAATGAAAAC